CGTTGGTGACTTCTTGGAGGAAATTCGCTGTCGCGTCTTCTTGGCGTTGTCCGAGGTGTAGGGATCCCGGTACTTGTTGCAACTGCTCGCTCAAAAATGACGCTCGGTTCCATGCCCGGGAGAATCTCTATCCGGATTGGTTTGAGCTGGCAGGCTGTGAGCATTGCATTATCCGGATGAAAAGGATAAACCCAGCAACGCAACTCAAAACACAACCCATGCAATGTATCCGCATCGCGGTAGCTCCACGAAGCTCCAAGCTGTAGAGTATTTACGCAAGGTACAGAAGAGACATTTCATTGTGTTACGGTCGATGTAGCTCCAAGGTGGTGGTCGTCCAGGGATGCGGATGTCGACCCTATGGCTCAGCCGCTTCCTTGGCTGCCTGCTTCTTCTTTTGGTCGGCCTCATAGCGCGCGCGATGCCAATTGCCCATCTCTTGGTCGGTGATGCCGCAGTCGCCCACCTTCCACGCCGCCACAACATCGTGTGGCTTGATCATGATGCCCGAGTGCTGCTTAGCGACAACCGTGTGTGTTTCCTTGTCGTAGACAAGGACGCGCGGCGCTGACAGCCTGTTGTACTCGTCGTCCTTGGTGAGGATCTTGTTGAGGCCATCGGCAATCTGGACAAGGTCGCTGCTGTGCCGGAAGGCAAAGAACGAGGTGCCGTTTGTGGTTTCGCTGGCCGCTTCGGCCGTCGCGTCCAGGCTGTAGAAGAGCACCGACACGTCGTTCGGGTTGGCCTTGGCGAACGCATCGAGCATCGGCGTCAACTGCGGGACGCGGTCGTCCTCGGGTTTTTGCGCCCACTTGGCGTCCACGTAGAGCACGACAAACCGGTTGAGCGCGTCAAAGCTGCTCCCGGCTCCGGTGGCATCGACGATCGTGTCGAGCGGGAGCTGCGACAAGAAATCGATGCACGGCACGTCCGGGTACCGGAGACTGCCCCAATATGCGTACACTTGTTCTTGCGTAATGTCGTCGCCCGCCGCCCACATGGAGAGGAGTTGATCGGGCATGAGGCGCAAGCCCACGGCGGCCTTCTCCGAGTAGACCTTGCCCGTGTCGCGGTCGATGGCCAAGACGGCGGGAATGCACTGCAGCGACGGGTACGCCTTCCCAAGACGCGCAAACGTCGCGTTGTTCTCCGCGTGCCACGTAAATCGATTGTACATGGGCTTGTCGCGGAGAGCAAAGGCCTGCATTTCAGCGTTGAAGTCGCGGCCAAAGTACACGACCGAGACGTCGTTCGGGTGCGTCTCGAGAAACGCGAGAAGCGTTGGCGCGAGGGCGCGGCACGGCTCGCACCAGTAGGCCGAGATGAGAAAGAGGACCGTCGGGTTGAGGTCTGCAATCACCACGGGCTGGCCGTTGCTGTCGACGAGATCGCCGAGCGTGTTCTCGGCGCTAAAGAGGTGGGCCCAAAAGCCGGTGTCGCTGGTCGTTGTCATGGTGAATTTGAAAATGCGGCCAAGTGTCGAGGCGACCGATGTGCAGGTACTGGATTTTTTTTGCGTTGGTGCCGATCGGAGTTGATGAGGCGCTAAGCAGAACGATCTGCGAAGGTGCCCGTTGGCCCACGACCTCTAGTGGGCCAACAAGACGCACGCGCTCGACGCGCCTGTCCGAGTTTGCCGTTGGACGCGAATGAGAGTAGAGTGGAACGTCGTAAGCGACAACAAAAAGACACGAGAAACCACATGGACGACGGCATGCGTGACCAAGCGAACGTGCTCTGACGCTTCAATTGAATTGGCGCATGGAACGTGACCCACGGCTTAACAGAGCGGGTCAAGCTGGCGGCGTCCTCGAGCAACCAACATATGGTTTCGTACGTATTTGCATCGTCATTTTTCACCTTGTGCGACCATCTTATTAATAGCACTCGGAGTGTCATATGCACCATCACAAGTGTCGATAAACTCGAGCGCAACGGGTGCGACTACCGTCTCTCAAAGTGCCTCTGGCGGAAGCGCCGCGCGGATCATCATCGTGTGATGTAGTTGTAGTACCAGTCGCTGGTCGAAGGCGCCATAAACGTATTCCGATCTCAACTCCATATTGCATTTTTTGTACAACAAGAAACGGCTTGATGGTCGTCTTGACCTCATGTTGAAGTAAGGTTATAGCCGTTGGACAGCATCAGTTGTCGACCGGTGTGGAAACGGCGTGGCGCGGGACCCGGTGCGGTACGTTCTCGAGCGTAAATGGTGGTATCACCGCATCTTCTTTCTCCTCGTCCTCGTCCGACGTGTGCAAAGGACCTTCTTGGCGTCCACGTGAGACATCGCTGCTGGTCACGCGACTGCCATTTTGGCGCTTCAAGCGCTTGTACTCGGTCAGACTCCACCCCGCCGACCAGAGCGGGTCCGTGTCGAGTTTCAAGAAGGCATCGAGCGCCTTTGTCCCGTCCCACGACAAATCAACGCTGATGAGCTCCCGCAAAAAGGCCTCCAGCTAGAAATCCTCTAAGTACTGAGACCAATGCGAAGCGTCGCACCATGGCTTGGCGAGTAGCGAGGTGCTGGTGCGTCGGAAGCACGTACGGGACTTGCACCGCCTTGGGTGGGAACGGTGCGGTAATCTTGCCGAGGTCGTTCGACGCCGCCAGCTACAAGCAACTTAGCCTTCGTGAGCACATACGCGTCCTTTACCTGCTGCTTGAGCTTGTAAAAGTCAGAGTACCGGTACTCCAGTCGGCGCGAGCAATTACGCACCGCGCACTGTACAACAAAGCTCTACTGTACCCGATGTCACTGGCCGCAAGCGGACCTTCCGTCGTACCACGTACGGCGCGCGCGACCAGCCAGACTTGCGGATGTCGTACTTGACCACACTCACCATCACACCAGGTGTCTTGCCCATATTGCGACGCGTTGTAGAATGGAGTGAACAGCTATCGACACGAGAGGCGATGCAGCATCGACCTGCCAGCTTTTTAGCTGTTTTTTCCGAGTACGAAGCGTGTCAACGGTCGCAGAAGCAGCCCAAGTCGCAGATCGTACTTGCACATGATGGGTTACGACGAACGGTTCGCCATGGCTATCGCGGTGTACTTCATACCGTTGGCGCCAACCTTCTTCTTGCGTTCTTCCGCCTCGAGCTCGCGCTGCTTGAGCTCCTGTTGCCGCTTGTGCCAATACGCTTGCTTGGCCGCTTGGTCTTTGACCATTTGCTTGAGGCTCGTCGGCGTCGCGGGACCTTTCTTGTTGGAGCCGTTCGCTTCTTGCTCGGACTGCACCTGTTCGCACACAAACTGGAGCGCTGTGACCCACGCCGTGCGCACTTCGGCCGACTCGGCCTCGAGCTCGAGGAGCACGTCGCCCTGCATCGAGAGGATCTGGAACGACGTTGTGGCCATGGGCGTCACAGCCTTGATGGCGCCGACTTCGATCTCGTTGGGCTTGGCGCCTGTCGCCTGCGCGTCGGACGTCCAGAGCAGGACCTCGTCCGAGTCGGGGTGCAGCTGGAGGTTGACGGCCTCGGCGCCCGTGCTAATCCCGAAGGTGTACTTTTTGCGCTTGAAGACGCCGCCGAGGCGCAGGAACGTGAGCCGCTCGTCGTGCTCGCGGATCGCTTGGCACTGCTCGAGGCAGTTGAGGTTGCCCATCCCAAGCCGTTTTTGTCTCGGTGGGAAATAGAACCCCACGGTGGGATTTTCATCCACACCATTTCCAGATATTTTGAATAGTGTTAGCTCGGTTCGTGGCAGCACCGGCTACGAGCAAGCAGCACCAGGAGTGCGCAGTGCACCAAGGTAATGGGCACGACGTCCGAGTGCATTGATCTCCAGAATACCTCGTCGTGGGTAGCTGTAGTTTCTAAGCCCAAGCAAGAGGCAAACATGGCGCCAAATATATTGGACTCGGTCCCGCCATCTTGTCGAAAGAACAACAGTTACGTTTGCGTGTCAGTGCGAAAGCCGCGTTGGGCAACATGCTGAGCCCAGAGTCGACCGCCTACTACCGCGTCGCGCCACCGACGAGACCGAGAAGCGCCAAGACGGTGCAGTCACCAAGCCTCAAAGTCATTCAGCGGCAGCTCCAGCTCGAGACGGCACCGAGTATCGACGTGGAGGGTGTCATCTTGAGCAGTCTAGACGTCGCCGCCGAGTGTCTCTCGCTCACAGGTACCTCTGTCAGTCTCGGGACTTGCCACGTGTCGACGTGTGATAACCCTAGATGCCTTTGAGCGGTCCAAGACGCGACGGAGCTACGAGATGCACGTCAAAGAACTCATCGACCGCGTCGGCATGCATCGGATGACCCTCCGCTTTCTGCCGCAGTACGAAGCTGCGTTTGCGCGCATGTTGCACCGCGCAGCGCTAAGACGCATCCGGTACACGCTGCTGCTCGGGTGTATCAGTCTCTTGGGCAAAACGCTGTACACCCAGTGCAGTGGCACACCAGCGGTTTGAGCCTCTTTCATCGGTACTTAAACTAACCTGCGTTTAGCCGGTCGTGTGGATCGGGACCGGATGTGCCTTGTCGGCGCTCGCCATCGCTTTTGGCTGCACATATCGCGAGGCCTGGACGGGCTACTGCGAGGTGTACACTTCATTCGCCTTTGTCGTCGTCGCCGCCGAGCTCACGGCGCAGAAACTGCTGCTGTCTCGCCCTGGTCCCGTCCTCGAGCTCTTTGTGTGTTTCATTCCGATCTTTGGTATCACGCGTCTGCGCTTTGACGTTGCTTGGCGCGTCGTGGCCGCCACCATCTCGATGCACCTCGTCGCGCTTCTGGCGGCGGGGCAAGAGACTGTCCCGGACATTGGCTTTCAAGCGTGTGCACTATTTCGCTTGAAACGGTGTCTCATCAAGGATCGTAGGTTCAGCTACCTCGGCGGCATTGTGGGCGGCGCCGTCGCGCACTACCGTGTCGAAGTGCTTCGTCGACGCAACTACACGCTGCACTTGCCGTTCTACCCGCGCGAGCTGTACCGCGATGAAATCTTTAGCCAGTGCAAGACACCGGCAACGAGCAAACACGCACTCTTGCATCCGTACGCCAGTGTCTTCTCGTATGGTTGACGATGTCAGCACGTAGGCTCACCTTGCAGTTCAAGCACCCGGCGATCGAAGCGACCTTCTACCGCCATTGGTATCTCTTGGACGGCTCGCCGTTCGAGCCGCTCGACAATCGGCGCCTGCACAAACACGCATTTCGCGCGATTCGATACGCTGTCCAAAGCGTTCTCTTCCAGCAGCTCCTCCTCGCCATCCAAGACCGACGGTCGTTCGAATGGAGACACATTGTCCTAACGCAGCGCGTAGGTATTTGATGGTGACTGACACGCCGCTGTGGCCCTACCACGCGGCCCTCGCCTTGCGCATGAGCGTTGTCGCCGCCTATTTCGGCGCCCAAATATGCATGCACCGCCTCGGGCGCGCGTACTACGAGACGTCTGCGGTGACTGGATCGCCTGTCGTTTTGGAGGAGTCGCCCGCGCTGCTCGAAGCCCCGCCGCGCACGTACGTCCACCGCATGCAGCAGCTGTCGACGGCGATTGTGTTTGGCCACGTACTCAGCATGGGCAGCATCCTGCTCTTTTGCACGCTGTCGTTGACTGCACAGCCCGTGGCCGCGCCGTGCTACTACCTCGGCCTGCTGAACGCGATTTTGTTTCCGCACCGGTCCGGGCTTCGCGTCCGGTACGAATTCGTGATGAACGTTGTTGATACATTGCAACTTGCGGGGTAGGTTTATATACGCAACCGGGGGAACGGTCGCCGCCGCCGTGGTCTTTCTCAGCGTCTGCACGCTCGTTTCGCCTACCCATGTACACGAGTACGGCGCATTTGTTGCCATCGTCCTCGTCCTTGGCATGCTCACGAGCTATGAAGAAGAGGCGCTTCGCCGCTCGTTCTTTGTCCGACGGTCGCTCCGGACGCACGATTTCTTCCAATGGCATGGCGCCGTGCGCCGCCTCGTACCGTTTGTGCGTCGTCGATTGGCCAAAACGCGGGGCCTGCCGCGGCTGCAGGTGACGCCGCTGACGACGACGACGACGACCATCTTTGGACCGACCAAGATTCCAACCTGCAATCTCTTGGCCAAAGCCAGTCGCTGCGGTATGTACTGGGACATTTGCCAAGCCGGCGTTGCTGTCGTGCTCTTGGTGGCAGCGACCAGCCAATAACAAAAAAATCTAGTGTCATAGCCAATGCGATGATTGATAGATCGATACAAAGAGGTATATCTATCTACAACTTGATCTTGATGTTGAAAAAGTCGAGCGCAACCGCCACCAACGAGACGCCGAGGAGGTAGAGGACGAGGACAATCGCGCCGGTCGTCTCAGAGGCGTAGATCGTACGCATGTTGAGGTTCACAGCGCCCGTCGAGAGGTTGGCGACCAAAAACACAAAGAGCTGGTTGCGCGAGATGCCACGGAAGAGAATCGGCACGCGCGGCCAAATGCTAAGAGATATCATTGCATCAACTTGATACACTTTGGCGTACCTGAGCAAGTTGCCGAGCGAGTGCGTCACGAGCACGATAAGCCCCTGGGCGAGGATCCAACCGACATACGGCACATTGAGCTACGCAAACAGAATGCCATCAGCCACTGTATCTTCCAGTGGACGATCGACGACGTACGAGACGGCGCGATGACGGCGTCACGTGGCGCGTAAGCGCTTCTGTCGCAAGGTAGCAGGCAAAGCAGATCATGAAGAGCTCGGCAGCAATCCACCGGCTCGAACGCAGCATCTTGGTACCGACCTTGGATTGGGAAAAGATGATTTGACCAATCGCCACCGACAAAATGTACAGCGGCAGGTAGCCTACGCCATACGGTCCAAGGTCGCACGATGTCATAATGATGTGTACGTACCGCAGAGGCTAAAGATGCCTTCGCGGTTCATGCTAAAGAGGTCGACGCGGGGCGCGTGAAAGATGTAGTCCTCGACGCCGTAATTGGAGAGCGCGAGTTGATAGCCTGGCGTTGAGATTGAGTTTGAGAAAACACATCGACGCGTGTACCAAACAGCATGAGAATGGCGGCGGGCACCGACACAAAGATCGAGCCAAAGAGCGAGAGGAGCGAGTACGTGAAGTAGAGACTCGCGAGCGTGATGTAAAAGTTCCAGTGCACACCGTACTCGGTGACGTGCTCCTATGCGCGAGCTTGAGATGCAAATTGTCCACACAGACACAGTTATACCTGGTAGTTGACCTTCTTGACCGTGATGAAGCGAACGACACCGAGAATGAGCACGGGGATCATTGGGCGGAAGAGACCCCAAATCGCCCGGAACGAGACGCTACGCATGTGAGACTATTGCACTTGTCCATGCTGGGAAATTCGGCGTTACCGAGACGACGCTTTCTTCGCCGTCGCGCCGCGAGCGTACGCCGACGTGAGGGCGGACGACATGATGAAGAGACCGACACCGCTGTCCATCTATAACGCTCGAATAAGATGACGGGCATAGCATACCGTGCGCTTACCAAGCTAACGCCAAAGGTCTCGGTCTTGGAGAACCGCCGGGGGAAAATGGTAAAGTCGACAGCAAGGATCGCAACGACGCTAACTCGACACGGTAAGAACACGAACGATAGAGGAACTACGTACGTGCACACCATCATTTGCGCGCGAAAGCAGGTCACAGCGGGGTTCTCCTTGCCGTTGAGCAACGTGAGCTTCTCGTTGCGCGCGAGCTTTTGGATCGGCTCGTTGGCGTGCTTCCACGAGAGCACGCCAAGGATGACCGAGAAGACGCCAAAGAAGGCTATCCACGCGCCGGGTCAAGAGACGTCAATGCATGGATCCAAGGATGAACTACCCGTGATCGGAAGCGAGTACTCGGTGAACGTAAAGCCGATCAAGATGGGCAACACGAGCACGGTAAACTCAAGGACAAAGAGGATCGCCGTGCGCTGATACCGCAGGCTCAGCAAGATAGCACTTGATGAGAGACGGAGTGTACCTGGAGCTTGGAGCCGGCGAGAAGCCCCGCGCGCTCAAGGACAAACATGACTTCGTTGTAGAACCACATGCTCGTCTAGACACGTCGATTCGAGTTAGCCGGCCACGCCTGGAGCGCCGACGCACCGAGAGGATCGAGAGGATGAGCGCGATCTCGCCCATCGTCGTGCCATTGTTGCCCGAGACGAAGGCTTCCTTGGCCTGCTTGTACGCGTCGCTGTCGATGGCCTCCATGCTGCTGCTGCTGCTGCTTCACACACTGATGACGAAAGCCAAGTCCGGTCGAATAAACACTGCATTTTAGCCAATCCGCGTCCACCATGATTTTAGCCAATCCCGATGACGACAGCGTCATCACCACGCTATCTTGATATTATTATGTGAATACTAAAGACCAGTTTATAGATCTACGCTCAACGCCACGACCGAAATGTTCGCTTCGAACGAGTCAACAGCCTTGCCGCTTGCAGTATTTTCACAACACAGGATGCCACGGCGCAGTCTTCTCTGGGCCGCAGCCACTGCGTGCGCCATGTGCAGCGCAACGTCCGATGACGCCTTCTACACCCCGTGGTCCGACAGCGGGCAGGCGACTACCGACTCGCCGATGCTGCTGCACTCTGCGAACGGGACGCACCCAGTCTGTGATCGCGCGGTCGGTGGGACCACAAAGCCCGACTGCGTGTACCCGATTTTGTTTGCTCTCTCGAGCTGCTTTCGCAACGAGTCGGTCATCGCGTCCATCGAGTCGTGGATCGACCGCCTGCGCGCGATCACGCGCGACGAAGCCTACCTCATCGACGGCCAAACGTGCTCGCTGGTGTGGCAAACCATGCAGCTCGTGGACGATAGCTGCACGAAAACGACGTCAAAGGCGACACTGACATCGACGCCGACATCGACACCGAAGCAAACACCGACACGGGCACCGAGGTCGACGCCGAAAACAACTGCTTCGACCCGAGCTCCGATTGCCATGCACCGGTATCATCGCCCCGAGCACCGCAGCGCCCGCCCCGCGTGGTTCAAAAAGCTAGCGCACGTGACGCCGGACGGTGCAGTGCACGGAAGCGTTTCGCTGACGGCGTGGGTGCCGCGGCCGAATGGTGCGCTCATTGAGGCGCAAGGACGGCAGCTTTTGCATGCGCTGCTGCCTGAGAAACGTATCGTGGCGCTGCTACCGACCGACGATGGCGAAGCGCTTGTTGCTGCGCTCGCTCACGACCGTGGGGTGACGGCGGTATCCAGTATCATTGTCGCAAACGATGATCTGGCAGCGCTAGTGGATTTGGATCTGGTGCAGTGGCCACATTTGGACACGTGGTACTACTGCTCGTCGCAGCTCTTGCATGGCAAGCCGACGTTGTACCTCGATGCGAACGGGACGCGGCACTGCGTGTGTCGGTGTCCGAGTGGCCAGGACGTGGCGCTGCGGGCGTCCGGTGCCGCCTGTGAGCCCGTCGTCGAAGCACCGTCGGACGGGCGATGCGTGCACGCGAACCGCACATTTGTGTACGAGATTGCTTCGCCGTCCATCGATCGAGACGACCGCAATCAATGCCACATCCGCCGACCACCGTCGATGGTCCATGTGCCATTTCCGCTGCAGACGTCGACCACCATAGCGATACACGTCAGAGCCGCGACAAACGCAACAGCCGATGTGTACGCGGGTGAGGTGCCGTCGTCGCCATCGAGGGCGCTGGACAACGTGGTGTGGAAATCACCGGGAGCCTACAACATTGACATTGCCAGCAATGGCACATCGTGTCGCGCCTGTCTTGTGATCCGGGACCTCTACCGACCCCGCAGCACGCAAACATGTCCGAACGTGCTCTGTGAGAGCAGTGTCTGTGCGTGGGCAGCACCAGGCCTTGCAGAGTACACACTGAGCAACCTCGCTGCGGCGCAAGCCAACGTCGACCAGCACGTCACGTACGGCCTCAACGCTGAGAACGATGCGTGCAGTGCAGCGCGATGCGATCTCAAGACGTTCGCTCGGCGGGACTTTTTCGAGCTCAATGAGACAAACGACCGTTTTGACCGTGGGCAGACGTGGCTTCAAGCTCCAATCTCGCTCGATGTTGGCCGTCGCCTCGAGGCGTCTCCGTTCGGCGCAGACGATGGGAAGCTTCAGCTGCACTCGCCCGTGGCGCCGTACCAGTGCACGCGCTGCAGCCACCTACAGACGACGCTGCGGGAGCTCTGGGTGCCGTATACCGATTGTAGAAGCGCCACACCCGCGCCGGAATGCAGCGGCTCGGACGTTGGGTGCACGACACACCAATGCCTCGTGGCCTCGGGGACGACGCTGTTTATGGCTTCGGCGACGATTGCGCCGGCGTATGCAGCAACCACAGCGCAGCTCATCAAGGAGTTGTACCCGACGCTAGCATACAATGGGTCGCAGGACGTCCATATCCAGCTGGACTGCTTCGCCTTGGGCGACACGGATGCCACCTGCGCCCACAACACGACACTATACACGCTTTTGACGCTGTCTTCTGGTCTTGTGGACCATTCACTGCTGGCCAATATGCAGCCTGACGGTGCGCGATATGTCTACTGGCGGCACCGCATCGACTATGGACCGTGGATGAACAGTGCAAAGGAAAGCATCCTTCGTTTCCACCAGCACGAGACAACTCTTCACGTCCAAGCGTGGTCGCAGTGCGGTCTGGTCACCGAGGCGAGCGTTCAGATTCATCTGCACACCCGGGCACCCGTCTGCGTCACAAATGCCTTTCCCACAATGTGGTACCAAACGTCTGTGGTCGACGCTGGATCCGACGTCTTTTGCGCTTCAACCGCAGGGTTTGCCGAGGTGACGTTCGATTTCGATCCGTCCATGGGACTCCAGTGCGCGGAAACGACCCCGTCGCCGTGGACCTTTGAACGGCTTAGGTGCGACGGCCGCTACGCCACCACGTCCAAGAAGGCCGTCTTGGTCGACGCTCGCAGCGCAGTCGTGCGTCGGTTTGCCGTGTACCTGGACCCTTTGGCGACACACGCGACAACGCTCAACATTACGTGCGCGTTCACGTACAGCAGTGTCGGCTACGCTACGACGCATACGGAGCTGGCGACCACGAGTTTACGTATCGTAGCGTGTGCGGGTGACACGGTGGCCTCGGCGGCCGTGTGTCAAGGTGTCGTCGTCGACTGCGAGAGCAACAGAACGCGCGTGCAGTATGTCTCCAAGCGCTGCGACGGTGCTGCAGTGTGCAAGCCAATGCTTGCATTGCCAGTGGACGACTACGACTCGGCGATGCAGCTGGCTTCGACGCAGGACATTTACACGTGCCTCGTCGTCGACGATGCGCTGCTCCTTTTGGCGTCGCACCCAGCGTCTCCTTTCTTGGGGGGACTCGGAATCTTCTGTCTCCTTGTCGGTTTGGTCGCCGGGGTTCACCGCCACCGAAATCGTCCCGTCCACCATGACACCGACTACTACGTCCTGGTCGATGCATAGTTGACCTACACTTCAGCTCCCAAGATCATTGAGCCAACCAGCGCTAGTTTATTCTGTCAACTCAGTTTGAAACCCCACCTTGCACTTGCTCATCGCTGTGTTTTGGACGAGGATCGAACAGGACCCCTTCACCTTCAACTGGTCGTCGCATGTGGGAGCCACCAAATTGCAACTGGTTCGAAGAGATTGTGTACGGTGCACAGTGCAAGAAGAAACATGCAGATGGGGACTCTGCCGCCATACTTGTTGGTCATGGAAGAAATCGCCTGCGACTGCATCGCACACGCTCACCCAAGGAACCTTTGAATGGAGCTCCTTTCTGGCTCAAATGCGCAGTCGACGTGCGCTGCCTTTGTTCGCCCTCCCATATAAAAACGAAGACGACGACAATACCGTTGTGCCGTCATCCTATATCGGACCACATACCGTCCGAGCGTTGGTGCGATTTACAAACCTTTTTCGGTGCTTCCTCGTGCTTCATGGCGGCTATCCCATCAGTCGGCATCTACACTGTGGCACCGATGAGAGATGCGGTCGTTGACCGAGCGTTTGATCCAAGCAAACGTGGCGCTTCCACGCGACGTTCTTCAACGCGCACCAGCTGGCACAAGAAGCTGCCGATGTGGCGCACGGCGCTGTGTGGAAAGGACGACGCTGTTGTGCAACGGCATAGCAAGTGTAACCCTGGACAGCAAACTGTAGGTAGGAAAAGGACAATGTAGACACAAAAATGAACGATACTTAATTGAGAAAATGCAAAACTTAAATATGACCCAAAAGCTTATTGGCAAAGGTCTGCGGCGTCGCTGGCGAGCGCGTCGATCGCGAGGTCGACCTTGTGCAGCGTGATGAGGTCGTGCGTCGTGAGGTCGGCTTCAAAGTGCC